ACAATTTATAACAATGTTTTCAGTATTTCTCAGAAGGCGAGCTTCAAGTATAACTCGTTTGAAGTAATGGTTCTTCATATAACATTTACATGTTACCCTTGGGAGAGATCATCAGGAAACACGGTGTTAGCTTTCACTGTTATGCTGATGATACTCAGCTCTATATAACTTTGCGGCCCGGAGAAACATACCAGTTTGAAAAACTAATGGAATGCATAGTCGATATAAAAAACTGGATGACGAAAAATTTCTTACTGCTAAATTCTGAAAAAACAGAGCTGTTAATTATTGGACCTAAAACCTCCACATGTAATAACCTAGAACACTGTCTAAGACTTGATGGCTGCTCTGTCAGTTCCTCGTCATCAGTTAGCAACCTAGGTGTGCTATAACTGAAAATTGGGTGTTTACTATTGTTATTTTGAATTATTGACACACTATTTTCCTAATTAATGCTGTTCAGTTGCTTTGACACAATCTTTATTGTTAATAGCACTATATAAATAAAGGTGACTTGACTTGTAACCCAGTGTGACATATGAAACAGCTGAACAAACCTTTGAGCAATGATTTCTGAGGAAGAAACACAAATCTGTGTTCTAGCTTTCATCACAGATAACATCCAGATCATATTGTCTGGAAACATCTAGCACACGTTATCTTAAATATTCAGCACAGAGTCAGTCAGACACCTGAACAGAGCATCAGCTCCTGCTAACGAGGGGTCCATAGCTTATCCTCAACCTCTGTTCAGTTCAGTCAACTGTATAAATGATGCTTGCATTGCCTTGGCTCTTGAATGAGAATCTGGATGCATTTGATGCTTCAATAGTTTGATGGTGGTGGAAACTTCCAGCATGCCTTCTTGTAATTAACTAATTAGCCAGCACAGAGTCAGTCAGACACCTGAACAGAGCATCAGCTCCTGCTAACGAGGGGTCCATAGCTTATCCTCAACCTCTGTTCAGTTCAGTCAACTGTATAAATGATGCTTGCATTGCCTTGGCTCTTGAATGAGAATCTGGATGCATTTGATGCTTCAATAGTTAGATGGTGGTGGAAACTTCCAGCATGCCTTCTTGTAATTAACTAATTAGACATTAGGTTTTCTTATCCAAGCTTGAGCCTCTTTGTCCAATTTATGTAAGTAAATCTCACAGTCGTTTTCAGCTTCTTTTTTTTTTTAATAACAGGTCCAATTCTAGGTCTAATCGGCAGCGTAGGACCGTGGCTCTGCTGTGAATGAGTGTTGGGAAAGCCATAGGTAAAGTTCCCACTCAATCCTCAGGTTTTTCCACAACACAACATTGCTCTCAGTGTTGCTTTTCAAACAAAACTTCTTTTATGACTTGTTTAGTGGCCTCTTTTGGCACAATAATTGGGCCCACTTTATATTAAGTGCCCCTAATACCTGTGTACTTAGTAACTAGATGTGTACATAGTATGTAATCACAGTGTAAGTACACATTGGTACATAGTATCTAAAGCTGTAATGTTTGTGTAACTACACATATGTAACAACCCACTGAATGGTATGTGTAAATACAAATGTGTAACAGGACATTGGTAACAACACCTTTTGGTAAAGAAAGTGTTACACTTTATATTAGATTCATCATGTAATTACTCTGATGTTACACATCAGCGGCCAGTAAGTTAGGCTTTACATATAAATTGTGGTTGGTGTCCAGAATGTTACACTTTATATTAAGTGGAGAGTTCCTGAGGAGTTAGCATGTAAGCACACTGGGATTACAGTGGTGCACCAACTCCACCAACTCGAGAGCCAACTCCTCCCACTTTAAATATCCCTAAACCAACCCATCTCCACCCCCTGCATCAAATTGTTCCAATTACTCTTATACATATTGTTGTTACAAAATGTAGTTATATATGTCCTGTTACACATTTGTACTTACACAAACCATCCTGAGGGTTGTTACATGTGTGTAGTTACAGAAATATTACAGCTGTAGATACTATGTACCAATGTGTACTTACACTGAGGTTACATACTACGTACACATCTAGTTACTATGTAAGTACACAGGTATTAGGGCCACTTAATATAAAGTGGGACCCAATAATTTGTCCACCATTAATAAAAGATATTTCTTTCTACTGTCCTCAAAAACATCAGTGGAAGATAAAAGTTTCAAAGCCCTTCAGGTCAGACCTACACAACATCAGGAGCCAAAAGGTGCGCATGCACAGATTTGATCTTAGAGTGCATGCGCTAAAATCCACACCAACATTCATTTTCATAAAAGTGGCCTTTGACGTGGAAAAGTGCCGAGTGTCACATCAGGGTCTAATGGATCAGTGGGCATCAGCACACACTAGTCCAATTAATGATGCACAATGGACTACAGTTACAAGGTGATCTACAGAACATGTCCCGCTGCTGCAGGTATGAGCAACAGCGATGTGCAACAATCTCCAGCAGTCTGGGAAGTCTGTGAACTAACCCCCGGCCACAACTAAGTTTCACCTCCGCTTGCACTGTTCACCATTATGTATGCACAAGTGTGTGTGTATGTTTGTTTAGACTAGTTATGTTAAGTGCTTTAGTTGATAAAACTTTTGTGCAGAATTACATTAGTTTGGCTTATATAACATAATGATAAGTATAAACATAAATTAGTAAATGAATTGTGTTACTAAATAAACAAATGGGACTTACAGTCACCTGAAGAATAACACAAAAATTTAATTAGAAATTAAATCAACAAAAAAGTGCAAAAGAAAAACAATATTATATTTGTAGGTATTTTCTGATTGAATCTGTTAAAATATCGCAGAGACCAGACATTTGTTCGCACTACAATCATTATATCTGCACTGTTGTTTACTTCACTGGTTTGCACTCTATCTGCCATGCGCCTTGTGCTGCTTTATATGTTTTTTTTACATTTTACCTTATTTGTATAATTGTATAGTTGTATTTTATATTTAAATCTGTATTTATGTTCTACTGTTTGTGTTATCTGTATGCACCAAGGGTCTGAGAGTAACGCAATTTCAATTCTCTGTGTGTATGTGCTGTACATGTGGAAGAATTGACAATAAAGCAGACTTGACTTGACTTGAGCTGTACTCCCAAACAGAGAAATGCAACCCACAACTATGCCTGCAGTGACAAGTACTTATTACAACAAAGAGAAATATGAGAAATATGGAATGACTAAAATAATCTAACAGACAACAAAATAAAGGCTACATATTGTAATTTATCTGTAGGTGTTAGCCAGCTAGCTAGTTCATCTAATTAGCATACTCATTTAATTTCCATTTTTTGCATACAGTGGAAAATGGCATACTTAAACTTAAATTATTTTAATTCATGAATGCTATATTATAGTCCTAGTCATGGTGTCTTTCAAAGGACACTTAGTGCACTTTTGCTGAATTAAAAGCAAGCAGTAATGTAACTGAAATGAAAACATTACTGACGCTTACATTTCTTTGAAAGAAAATAAAGTAAAATTAAAGCAGTTAACTCAAGCAAAAACGTTCCAGTGTCAGTGTTGCCAGTTAAGATGTTCTAAAAGGCTATTTTATAATACTGCATAAACATCAAGGGCAAGTACAGTTATTAACTTCTGATTCTTACTTTGCTCTTTTCTCCTCTTCTTTCTTCTTTGTGTGGCTTCCGGCCTTGTGCTCCTGATCATTTTCTTTTTTCACTCATTTTTTAGAAATGATCCTTTCAGAGCACATAAATGTCAAAACTATGCGTGCGCCATGCATAATTAATGCATTATGATGATGTATTATAATTACATCATGACGCAGAAAGTGTTTAAATTAGTCCAACATGACATGTTGTCAATTTTATTTTATTCTAACATTTTAATCAGTTCGATGATCGATCAGTACTAAAATTTTAATTGTCAGTCTTTGCTCAATATCTGGGTGTAGGAGCGCACGATGGTCCGAGAAAAACACTTTCGTGCGGCGCCCCAGTCATTTTGCGCCCTAGTGTTTCTCAACCAGGGGTCCGTGGCCCCCTAGTGGTCCTTGACGTAAGCAACTGCCTATGCCACGGGCCGGCCCGGACTACTTGCAAACGAAGTCCCTTCAACGAACCAGTCTCGATACATGCTCTAATGCAGGATCCTCAACTCTGGCCCACGAGAGCCACTTTCCTGCAGAGCTGAGCTGTAACCGAATCAAACACCCGAGCAAGCTAATCAACGTCTTCAGGATCATTAGCAAGCCACAGGTAGGTGAGTGATGAGGGTTGGAGCTGAACTCGGCAGCGCATTGGCCCTCCAGGGAAAGAGTTGAGGAACCCTGCTCTAATGCAACACGTTATTTTCTGTGGCCTCCAAAATACCATTTCTTAGAGTTGAAATGAAATGAGACTGAATGTTCACTGGACGAACAGATTATAGTTGATTGTAATATTCATTCTGCTAGAGTTCTGGCAGCTGATATAAATAACGATAATCAATTATTTCTACACATTTCCCTTTTGAGCTAATTTGCTAGAAGGTGTTCAAGGAAAGGAGCAAAAGCAAAACTTACCATCCTAACCCTAAACAGAAGTACACAGAGAGTCACTGCCATGAAATGTGTGTCTGACACCTAGAACCAGAAACAGTACACTTTGCCAAGTTCAAGATTACGGTTTAGTCACACATAAATCATTCTTTGAGGCTTCACTATAAGCGCAACAAGGACTAAAGAGGACCACTACATCTTAAACAGGTTCAACATCTCACCGAGATGCCACTATGTTGTTCAACAACACTATAATCCACGGAATGCACTGTATTTCTATCAGACTCATTTCATTCCTGTCCAAAATTAAATATGACTCTACCCTAAGGTCTGTCATTAACACATATGACTAAACTGTTCATCTTTAGGCCAAGAACAAGCTCAGTGTTTTCATTATCTGTATAAAAAGATCACTGTAGATGTCTAGTCCAGTTCATCTTCCACAGGAGACCGAAAGAACAAACAACCCACATTATCTCTGTAAAGCTCTGTATTTTCTACAGTGAACACAAACAGAAGCATGAACACAAGCACAAGAGCTGTTGTATTTATTAGTGAGTGATGTGATCAGGTGCTGGGTACAGCTCTGGGTGCGGTCTGCAGCGTTCTCTTGGCCATCTCCAGCGCTCCCTCCTGCGTGCGGTTCCCTCCGATGAAGCCGCTGGCGTGGACGAAGATGCAGCCGGGAATCCCGCTCAGCTCCGACAGCGCCTCGTCTCGCACGCCTCGCCATTCCTCCAGAAGACTCAATCTAGAGATATGACCAGCACAAATCAAGCTCCTCTCCCTTCAGCCGTGATCAACAGCACATCAACCGCAGTCAACAGTGAATGCAATAAAGCTTTCGTGAAGCCTTCAGTTATTACACTCCAAGATCTTTCACATCTGATATACTCGGCAGCAGAAGCGTGTGCTGATGGTCTCGGTATGAAAGTGTTTCGAGGAGACGGGAGAAGGCGCACCTGTTCTGGAAGGTGTTGAGTCCGGCCGGGACACACTGCACTCTCCAGTGTCCGCTCTGATCCGGGTACAGCACAAACTTGATGAGCACGTCCACCTTCAGCTCCTTCTCCAGCGCAAACAGATGCTCTTTCCAGGGACAGCCTCCCTGAGCCAGCAGCAGCAGCTCCCCGCTGGGATCCACCTGCACAGGACCGCTATTACACACCAGAGCCATGCTGCACGCATTCACTAACACAGAACACCGGCTGGAGTCTGCTGGGACACGGATTTAACATTATATAAGTGGAGTAGATTCTGTTCTTCAGTCTCAGACTGGGTTGCTCTAGCCGACTGCAGGATTGTTTGGAGAGACTCTCTCTTGCTTTAAAGACGGGTAAATGTGCTCCCAGCTGCCGTTTCCAACTAACAAAGAGGAAAAGCCTCTGGATACAAGTGAACTACAATAGCTTGTGCAATGCATGCTGGTTACAGATGGAAGCTGTGTTTACTTATTTGTTTCTGTTTTTGCTCCATCTTGTATTACTCACACTAAACTCTTAATTAAATCAAATGAATGCATGTTTAAAGTCTTTATTATTTGGCCACTCTTTCAAGTCTTTTGTCTCATCTAGTCTATTTATTGTCTGTTTTTGTCCTGTTGATAGTGTGACTCCTCTAGATTGTTGCCTGCTGATGAACTGAATCACACACACACACACACACACACACGCAAACACACACACACACACACTCACGCACACACACACAGTTCAGTCTAGGGCTGTGAGATATACCAACATTAATTAGAAATTGCGATATTGCTTAGTGCACTTTTCGAATCGCGAAGGCCGCGATTTAAATCATGGGTTGTGTGTTTTGAAGTGCTGTAACACTACATGATTTTAACATTTCCACACGCTAGCATAACACAATTTACAAGATTTCCTATTATTTCCTTGCTATATCATCACTATATAGAGAAAAAAAGTGTGCCAATGTTCAAAAATCTTTTGAAGATATCACTGAACATTTAGCCATTTCAAAAGTCAATTCCTGGCTGAAGTAAATTTGTCATCTCATTTTTAGTGTTTATTTAAAATGAGATATCTGTTTATTATTCTTACAATTATTTAAATCTCCAAACTGTTTGAGATAGCTTTGCTTCACTTATGCTTTGCTAAAAACAGTGTTGGGTTGTGCTCTGCTCTTCTCACACACACACTCACACACTCACGCACACACGTTCACTCACACTCACACAAACACACACACACTCACTCACTCACTCACTCACTCACTCACTCACTCACGCACGCACTCACACTCACTTGGACTCACACACACTCACGCTCGCACTCACACTCACACACACTCACTCGGACTTACACACACTCACGCTCGCGCTCACACAAACACACTCACTCACTCACGCACGCACTCACACTCGCTTGGACTCACACACACTCACGCTCGCGCTCACACAAACACACTCACTCACTCACGCACGCACTCACACTCGCTTGGACTCACACACACTCACGCTCGCGCTCACACAAACACACTCACTCACTCACGCACGCACTCACACTCGCTTGGACTCACACACACTCACGCTCGCGCTCACACAAACACACTCACTCACTCACGCACGCACTCACACTCGCTTGGACTCACACACACTCACGCTCGCGCTCACACAAACACACTCACTCACTCACGCACGCACTCACACTCGCTTGGACTCACACACACTCACGCTCGCGCTCACACAAACACACTCACTCACTCACGCACGCACTCACACTCGCTTGGACTCACACACACTCACGCTCGCGCTCACACAAACACACTCACTCACTCACGCACGCACTCACACTCGCTTGGACTCACACACACTCACGCTCGCACTCACACTCACACACACTCACTCGGACTTACACACACTCACACTCGCGCTCACACAAACACACACACACTCACGCACACACACTCACTCACACGCACTCACACACTCACTCGGACTCACACACACTCACGCTCGCGCTCACACACACAAGGATCATTAATGTATTTTCTGGGCTGTGTTTAACAACACTCGCAGAGCAGATTACAGTTCATATCTGCACCGGAGCGAGCGTGTTTCCAGTTTTTATGGTTATATTTCATAGTCTCACTAATATCTGTAAATGAATAAATTAAAACACTAATATTAGTAGTGAAATTTTACAGGTGTACTATAAAATAAAATAATTTTTCTTAAATACTTAACTTCTGCCATATTAAACTTTTAATTAAGATTAAGCTTACAGTAACGTCAATTGTTTTTTGATCTAATATTTTGGTGGGTCTTGAAATAGATTATATTTATATATATACATATACAGTGGGTACGGAAAGTATTCAGACCACACTCTCACACACACTCTCACACACACTCACTCACTCACTCACTCACTCACGCACTCACTCACACTCACTTGGACTCACACACACTCACGCTCGCTCGCACTCACACTCACACACACTCACTCGGACTTACACACACTCACGCTCGCGCTCACACAAACACACACACACTCACGCACACACACTCACTCACACGCACTCACACACTCACTCGGACTCACACACACACACAAGGATCATTAACGTATTTTCTGGGCTGTGTTTAACAACACTCGCAGAGCAGATTACAGTTCATATCTGCACCGGAGCGAGCGTGTTTCCAGTTTTTATGGTTATATTTCATAGTCTCACTAATATCTGTAAATGAATAAATTAAAACACTAATATTAGTAGTGAAATTTTACAGGTGTACTATAAAATAAAATAATTTTTCTTAAATACTTAACTTCTGCCATATTAAACTTTTAATTAAGATTAAGCTTACAGTAACGTCAATTGTTTTTTGATCTAATATTTTGGTGGGTCTTGAAATAGATTATATTTATATATATACATATACAGTGGGTACGGAAAGTATTCAGACCCCCTTAAATTTTTCACTCT